CTGGCCGCTTAGGACGCAGTCATGTGATCCATCATGGGAACCACCACTCACAAGTGAAGTCCAGCCAAGTTGACACATCTTCAACTATCACAGTACTGAAGGAAGAAATCCAAGCTGCACTGAAAGCACTGGCAAAAAACAAGGCTCCAGGAATTGATGGAATACTAACTGAGATGTTTCAACAAAAAGATGCAATGCTGGAAGCACTCACTCATCTGTGTTCAAGAAATTTGGAAGATAGCTACCTGTTCTACTGACTGGAAGAGCTCCATATACATGCCTATTCCAAAGAAAGGTGATGTAACAGAAGATGGAAATTATCAAAACAATATCCTTAATATCACATGCAAGTAAAATTATGCTGAAGATAATTTAAAAAATAAAAAAAATGTTGCAGCAGTACACAGACAGGGTACTTCCAGGAATTCAAGCAGGATTCAGAAGAGGACATGGTATGAAGGATATTATTGCTGATGTCCGATGGATCTAGGCTGAGAACAAAGAATACCAGAAAGACATTTACCTGTGTTTTATTGACTATGCAAAGGCATTTGACTGTGTGGATCATAATAAATTATGGATAACACCGTGAAGAATGGGAATCCCAGAAAACTTAATGTGCTCATGAGGAACCTTTATATAGACCAAGAGTCTGTCATCCACATAGAACAAAGGCATACTGTATGTTTTAAAATCAGGAAAAGTATGTATCAGTGTTGTCTCTTTTCACCATACTTATTCAATAGGAGCTCTGGTAGCATAGTGGCTAAAGCACTTGACTGCTAACCAGAAGGCTGGTGGTTCAAACCCACCAGCCACTCCTCGGAAGGAAGGTTGGGCAATCCTACTTCCGTAGTGATACTGCCTCGGAAACCCAAGGAGGGGTCGCTATGAGTCGGGGCCGACTCGACGGCACATAACAACAACAACAACAACATTCAATGTGTAGGCTGAGCAAATAATCCTAGAAGCCAGATTATATGAAGAAGAATATGACACCAGGCATCAGGACTGGAAGAAGATTCATTAACAACCTGTGATATACAGATGACACAGCCTTGCTTGCTGAAAGTGAAGAGGACTTGAAGCACTTATTGATGATGATCAAAGATTATAGCTTTCAGTATGGATTACACCTAAACATAAAGAAGACAAAAATCCTCACATCTGGAACAATAAGCAGTATCATGATAAATAGAGAAAATACTGAAGCTGTCAAGGATTTCATTTTACTTGGATCCACAATTAATACCCATGGACGCAGCAGTCAGGAAATCAAACAATGTATTGCACTGGGCAAATCTGCTGCAAGGGACCTCTTTAAAGTATTAAAAAGCAAAGATGTCACTCACTCTCTTAGGCTGAGTTCTCTACAGAAGCAAAACCAGTGAAGCTTATATATGGAGAGAGAGAGAAAGAGAGAGAGATTTATCTGAAGGAAACAGCTCACGTGGTTGTAGCGGGTGACAAGTTCCATGTCTGTGGGTTAGACATCAAGCTATATGCTTCTCCTGACTCATGTAGCTGCAGGGGCTGATGAACCCAAGATCAGAAGTCAATATGGCAGGCTGCTAGCTCAAGTCCAAAGAACCAGAGGTCAGATGATGAAGAGCCAGATACAGGATCCAGAACAAGCAAAAAGCCAGAGGGCTTTGCCAAAACGTCCATATTGGATGCAGGCCACACCCCTGAGGAAATTCTCTTTCAACTGATTGGCTATTCACATCAGATCTCATTGTGGAGGTGATTATATTATATCAAAACACAAAATGGGAGATGACTATATATATCATCACGTAACTGCCAAACCACTGAGAATCATTGGCCAGCCAAGTTGACACACAATCTTAACCATAACAGACACTTTCAGGACTAAGGAGCACCTGACCCAAGCCATGGTATTTTGAAATACCTCATATGCATGTGAAAGCTGGACAATGAATAAGGAAGACTGAAGAATCACTGCCTTTGAATTATTATTATGGTGTTGGCAAAGAATATGGAATATAACATAGACTGACAGAAAAATGAACTATGAACAAATCTGTCTTAGAAGAATAGCAGGAAGCATTGATCTACAGGTGGAGAGATGGGTAGACAGGCTGAATGATCAGGTATGTCTAGGCAGGGGGAAGTGTGCCCATGACCATGTATAGGGTTAGTAGACAACGTTTCTACCTGCATATTTGTATGTGCTATAAGAATGTCTGGGTGTACAGAAGAGCTGACAAGGGGCAAGTTTTCTTGGCCACAGCCAGCTAGCTACCCAGAGGGAGCAAGTAGTTAGATATGTGGGCTCAGGATCATGGTCACAGAGGACATCAAGCTGAACTGGCATAACATACTACACAAAAACATTGTTCTACATTCTACTTTGGTGAGGAGTGACTGGGGTCTTAAAAGCTTGCAAGTGACCACCTAGATGCAATGATGGGTCTCTCCTTGTCCAGAGGAAAGAAGAATTAAGAAAACCAAAGACACATGGAAACAATTAGTTCAAGGGACTAGTAGACCATGCAATCCTCAGCCTATATGACCATGAGACCAGAAGAACTAGATGGTGCCTGGCTATCACTGTTAGCCACTCAGAGGGGGACTGGTGCAGGAGATCCTGGTTAGAGTGGGGGAACAATGTAGAACAAAACTCAAAATCATTTTAAAAAAAAAAGAAAAAAAGGCCAGTTTTGCTGGTCTGATAGAGCCTGGTGAGACCTCTGAGATTATAACCTGTAGTTACCCTTCAGATCTGGAACTGAACTCACTCCTGTGGCTTCCAGCCTAGCAACAGACAGCTTATGGGGTGAACATTTACATCAGGTAGATACGCTTCCTGGAGCGATCAATCATGGGTGAACAGAAGGGCAGTGTTTGCACAGGGAGGCAGCTGGAGGTGGGGGGCAGGAATGCATGGAAGGGAAAGATACAGGGAAGAGGTAACTATTGGGAGGAAGTGGGAAGAGAGCTGTTACACTGTAGGGAATTGAAGTCAACATCATAAAACAAAATGTGTATGAACTGTTATATAGAAAATGAATTTGTTCTGTAAACTTTCACCCAAATCACAACAAAAATTAATAAAGAAATAACGTATTTAAAAAAAACAAAAGAAAGAAAAAGAAGAATAGCTAGGCTCTCCCGGGCCCTCACTTCCAAGATGACAAAGTAAAGGAGGTAGTTTACGGTTGCGCCATAAAGGGCTATAGCCACGTGCAGCCTATTTGCTACACAAACTGTACCTGCTCTGTGCCTAAGACAAGGCCGTTAAGAAGTTCGTAATTCAAAACACAGTAGGGGCCACAGCTATCAGAGATATTTCCAAAATGATTGTCTTCGACACATACATGCTTCCCAAGATGTACGTGAAACTACATTATTGTGTGAGATGTCCCACTCACAACAAGATGGTTAGGAACCATTCTCGTGAAGCCTGGAAGGACAGAATAGCCCCACCTTGATTTAGACCTGCAGGCACTGCCCCATGACCTCCAGCAAAGCATATGTAAGGATTTGAATCCTTAAAGCTAAAGAAAACTAACATGAAAGAAAATAAAATGGAAATTATACTGAAAAAAAAAAAAAAGTAGTACAGCCAGAGTGCTCTCTGGAAGCAAGGGTGGCAAGACTTTATCTCACATACTTTGGTCATGCTATCAGGAGTGACCCGGGCTGGAGGAGGACACCACGCTTGGTAAAGTAGAACGTCAGTGAAAAAGAAGCCACACCCTCAGTGAGATGGATGGACATAGTGGCTGCGACAATGGTTCAAACATAGCAATGATATGAGGACGGCACAGTGTCGTACACAGGGTTGCTATGAATCAGACCTGACTCAACTTTACCTATAACAACAACAACTGTAAATAGTGGAAAATTGGATGTTCGTAAAGACAAAAATATACAGATTCATACCTCATATGATATGTTGTGATATATTTCAAATGGGTCAAAGACTTTAACATTTGTAAAACCTTATTATTAAAAACTAGTAAAGAAAGGTAAATAGTTGGAGTAAGGGATGGCAAGACTATTATTAAGCAAGGAATGCATCACAAACAAGGTAGGTGCAGATTTACAAACAAGTAAAGATCTAGTAAAGAATTAAGTGTGCACTTACTTTCCACAGCACATGTGATGCTTGTCAGGCATGCCCAGACCCAGTACAAGGATACAGTACTTTTGTGCCAAGAATTTCTGTGCTGCCTCAAACTTACTTAAAACCAATTCCATCTCTTTTTTCTCTACAATAGCCCTGAAAAGGAAAAATTACAATCTGGATTAATTTTGGAAAATGCCTATATTAATTAGTGAAAAGACAGAATTATAGCATTTTGAAAGAAATACAAGTGAGTCAACAGATTTCACTCATTTATTTTATTTGAGCTATATGCACAGGAGGTCCTGAAAACAAACAAAAAAAACAAACCCACTGACATTGAGTCCATTCCAACTCACAGTGACCCTAAAGGACAAAGTAGAATTGCCCTTAAAGGTTTTCCAAGGTTGTAAATCTTTATGGAAGCAGACTTCCTCATCGTCCTCATGTGGTGTGGCTGGTGGGTTTGAACTGCCGACCTTCCGGTTAGCAGCTGAATTGTTTAACTACTGTACTACCAGAGCTTCTAGGGAGGTCCTCAAAGTTCCCTGATAGTTATCATTGTACTTAACAATTCAAGTTTATGATGAATTTTCACTCTTTTATAGATTCTTTACACTTTATGCTACTTATCCTCAATTTTATGTACAGGTAGAACTAATTTATATAGAATAGCTAAGCTAACAAATTAACCTATAGAGGTTCCTGGGGCAGAAAATGGGGCAGCCCGTTTCCCTGCTGTTTTGGTAAAACAACTGTAAGACTGTTCCACCTCAGCTTCCCCTGGGTTCCCAACGTGGCTACTAAGTTTAGGGGCTCTATGTTTGAACTTTAGCCTACTCTCTGAGTTTAGTTGCATTTGCTAAGGGGGTTATTTGTGGACTACTACCCTGGGAACTTTAACATCAATTACAGTAATATTGCTTCCCTGTGAACGCACAGCCCCAGTTCCAATTGCAGTACAAATGAACTTTTAAAAAGGCTTCTTTTAAATAATGTAGAATCTGCAAAACACTACATAACATGGATGAACTTGGAGGACATTATGCTGAGTGAAATAAGTCAATCTCAAAAGGACAAATATTGTATTAGTCTGTTACTGTAAAAGTTAAGGAAAGGTTTATCTATAGAAGGAAATTTTCTTTGTTGGTTACCCGGGGTGGGAGGATGGGAGGGAACGCTGTTAGATAGAGATAAG